CAAAAAGGGGCCCAAAAATTGGGGGCCTGGCAGCACTATGGAGCCCTAATCTGCCAGCACCCTGTAAAAAAATTCACACACCACATGTGAGGAGACCTAAAGTGCAAAAGGCAGGGAGAAACTCTGGGACCGGGCACAGCAGAGGGGGGGCGGATATGGCAGCAGCTATGGGAGGCCCATAATCTGCCAGCACCCTATGTCAAAAAATTCTACACACCAGCAGTGTGTGAGGAGACCTGAAAGTGGCACATGGCAGAGTGTGGCGATGGAGACAGCAGCAATGGGAGGCCGTACAGGACCCATGACAGACTCTGGACCTGGCAGCAGCATGAGGAGGCGGTATATAGGGGCCTATGGCAGATTAGGGGCCTGGCAGCAGCTATGGGAGGCCCGTAATCTGCCAGCACCCTATGTCAAAAAATTCTACACACCAGCAGTGTGTGAGGAGACCTGAAAGTGGCACATGGCAGAGTGTGGCGATGGAGACAGCAGCAATGGGAGGCCGTACAGGGACCCATGACAGACTCTGGACCTGGCAGCAGCATGAGGAAGGCGGTAAATAGGGGCCTATGGCAGATTAGGGGCCTGGCAGCAGCTATAGGAGGCCCATAATCTGCCAGCACCCTAACCCTATGTCAAAAAATTCAACACACCAGCAGAGGAGACCTGTGTGGACAGCAGCATGGAGACCTGAAAGTGGCAGGCACATGGGGCCCAGGCAGATTGTGGCAGCAGCTATGGGAGGCCCACAGCAGCAAAAAATGGGAGGGAGACCGAAAGTGGACCCATGAGAGACTCTGGACCTGGCAGCAGCATGAGGAAGCGGTATATAGGGGCCTATGGCAGATTAGGGGCCTGGCAGCAGCTATGGGAGGCCATAATCTGCCAGCACCCTATGTCAAAAAATTCAACACACCAGCAGTGTGAGGAGACCTGAAAGTGGCACATGGCAGAGTGTGGCGATGGAGACAGCAGCAATGGGAGGCCGTACAGGGACCCATGACAGACTCTGGACCTGGCAGCAGCATGAGGAGGCGGTATATAGGGGCCCATGGCAGATTAGGGGCCTGGCAGCAGCTATGGGAGGCCCGTAATCTGCCAGCACCCTATGTCAAAAAATTCTAAACACACAGCAGTGTGAGAGAGACCTGAAAGTGGCACATGGCAGAGTGTGGCGATGGAGACAGCAGCAATGGGAGGCCGTACAGGGACCCATGACAGACTCTCTGGACCTGGCAGCAGCATGAGGAGGCGGTATATAGGGGCCCATGGCAGATTAGGGGCCTGGCAGCAGCTATGGGAGGCCCGTAATCTGCCAGCACCCTATGTCAAAAAATTCTACACACCAGCAGTGTGTGAGGAGACCTGAAAGTGGCACATGGCAGAGTGTGGCGATGGAGACAGCAGCAATGGGAGGCCGTACAGGGACCCATGAGACAGACTCTGGACCTGGCAGCAGCATGAGGAGGCGGTATATAGGGGGCCCATGGCAGATTAGGGGCCTGGCAGCAGCAATGGGAGGCCCGTAATCTGCCAGCACCCTATGTCAAAAAATTCTACACACCCAGCAGTGTGAGGAGACCTGAAAGTGGCACATGGCAGAGTGTGGCGATGGAGACAGCAGCAATGGGAGGCCGTACAGGGACCCATGACAGACTCTGGACCTGGCAGCAGCATGAGGAGGCGGTATATAGGGGCCCATGGCAGATTAGGGGCCTGGCAGCAGCTATGGAGGCCCGTAATCTGCCAGCACCCTATGTCAAAAAATTCTAACACACCAGCAGTGTGTGAGGAGACCTGAAAGTGGCACAACATGGCAGAGTGTGGCGATGGAGACAGCAGCAATGGGAGGCCGTACAGGGACCCATGACAGACTCTGGACCTGGCAGCAGCATGAGGAGGCGGTATATAGGGGCCCCATGGCAGATTAGGGGCCTGGCAGCAGCTATGGAGGCCCATAATCTGCCAGCACCCTATGTCAAAAAATTCAACACACCAGCAGTGTGAGGAGACCTGAAAGTGGCACATGAAGAGTGTGGCGATGGAGACATGGCCGTACAGGGACCCATGAGAGACTCTGGACCTGGCAGCAGCATGAGGAGGCGGTATATAGGGGCCCATGGCAGATTAGGGGCCTGGCAGCAGCTATGGGAGGCCCATAATCTGCCAGCACCCTATGTCAAAAAATTCAACACACCAGCAGTGTGTGAGGAGACCTGAAAGTGGCACATGGCAGATGGAGACAGTCAGCAATGGGAGATACAGGGACAGCAGCAATGAGGAGGAGGGTGTACAGGGGGCCATGGCAGATTAGGGGCCTGGCAGCAGCATGGGAGGCCCAAATCTGCCAGCACCCTATGTCAAAAAATTCAACACACCAGCAGTGTGAGGACCTGACCTGAGAGTGTGGAGACACAATGGGAGGCATGAGAGACTCTGGACCTGGCAGCAGCATGAGGAGGCGGTATATAGGGGCCCATGGCAGATTAGGGCCTGGCAGCAGCTATAGGAGGCCCGTAATCTGCCAGCACCCTATGTCAAAAAATTCTACACACCAGCAGTGTGAGAGGAGACCTCTGAAAGTGGCACATGTTTGAGGCATGATTCATGGCGGATTTAGTCAGTTGTGTCAGGAACTGGGTGGTTTGAAATCCAGACTAATCCACGCCTGATTCATTTTCACAAACGTGAGTCTCTCCACACTTTGGGTGGACAGTCGTGTCCTCCGCGGAGTTACAATACCTCCTGGCCACTAAAAACACTAAACACGCGCTCCGATGCCACGCTAACTATGGGCCGGGCATGACAGCCTTTCAAGGGCAAATTCAGCTAGTTGGGGCCAAAGGTCAAGTTTCGTTGCCCAGTAGTCAAGGGGATTGTCTACCTCGGTTGGCAGGGTGCTGTCCAAGTAGGCCAAGCCTGTGTTTGAGGTCCTGCTCCAGCAGGTCCACCTGATGCTGCTGCTGCTGCTGCACTGCGGCTGGTTAGTAGTTTCCTCACTGCGCTGGTGAAGAAAGCTACTCATCATCGACTGCAGACTGAGGCAGCCGCTGCTGGTGGAGCTGCCACTGCTCCTACCTACCACCCCACCCCTCCCCTGCTGCCATGGCAGCGGAACGCGAGCGCACAGGGCCCACAGTGTCTGAGGATGGACGTTGGCGCACAAAGGCAGAGACCAACTGACTACATAGGTGGTTTTTTATAGTACGTTATTTTGCCCTCCCTCTCAGCAGGTGTGAAAAAGGCCACCATTTTGAACGGTAGCGAGGGTCCAACAAGGTGGACAGCCAAAAGTCATCCCTCTGTCTGATGGTTATTATTCGGCTGTCGCTACGCAAGCAAGCAACCGAGCATGCTATGGGCCATTTGTGCCAAGGAATGCGAGGGACTCCCTGCCTCCATCTCCACAGCATACTGCCACGGTGCGTCTGGGTCCTCTGTCTCCTCCTCCTCCTCCTCCTCTACCAGATGCTCCTGCTCCTCCACTCCTGTCCGCTGAGTGGAAAAACCACCCATTTCACTCAATAATTCCTGAGCACAAATGTCCTCCTCTACCTCCTCCTCTTCTTCCTGTCCTGCCCCCACAGGGGTCATGTGGCGTTGAGATCTGTGCGCCACGTCTACCGCACCCTGACCAGCCATTGTTAACAGCATTTGTTCAAGGACGTGCAACAGAGGAATGACGTCGTTCATCATCCCATAGTCCTGCCGACTCACGAATAGCGTGGCCTCCTCAAAGGGCCTGAGCAAGCGGCAGGTGTCACGCATGAGCTGCCAATGGCTGACATCGAAGTTACACAGGGGAGTACCTTATCCGCTTGTAACATCAGGAAATCGGTGATGGCCTTTCGCTGTTCGTAAAGGCGGTCTAACATGTGTAGGGTTGAATTCCACCTTGTTGCAAACGTCGCAGATCAGGCGATGCTGTGGAATTCCGTTCTGCCGCTGCAGCTCAAGGAGGGTGTGCTTTGCGGTGTAGGAATGGCTGAAATGCATGCACAAGTTTACGTGACATTTTAAGGATGTCTTGCAGTGGGATGGTGGATTTTAAGAACCGCTTGACAACCAGATTGAACACGTGAGCCATGCATGGCGCATGGCACAACCTTCCTTGACGCAGAGCAGACACCATGTTCTTTCCGTTGTCGGTCAACATGGTTCCGATTTTCAGTTTTCGCGGAGACAGCCATCTGTCGATTTCTCTGTTCATTACACTCAGAAGTTTCCTCCCCTGTGTGACTACGTTCGCCAAGGCATACCAGGTGCAGAACAGCGTGACACCGTTGCGCCCTGCACATGTGATATGCCGGTCGGGTAATGGGACTTGGCACGGGGTGGCGGCTGAGGACACGGCGGAAGAAGAGGTGGTAGAGGCGGACACATCTTTGCCGGACCAAGGACGTGCAAACGTGGAGGCAAAAGCGGCGTGACCTGTCCAAGTTGCTGGTGCGGCTGTGACGGCACCACGTTCACGTTCCCCAGTGGGCCCGTAAATGACATGTACTGTCCCTGACCGTAGTTACAGCTCCACACGTCGGCGCTGCCGTGCACTTTGGCAGAGACCGACATGCTCAAAGACTGGCCCACCATGTCTCTTCTACATGTGAATGCAGGGCTGGCACTGCCTTTTTGGCGAAGAAATGACGGCTTGGCACTCTCCACCGCGGCGCGGCACAAGCCATCATTTCTCTGAAAGGTGCTGAGTCCACCACTTGGAAAGGGAGGGACTGCAGCACCAGCAACTTGGACAGGAGGACGTTCAGCTTTTGCACCGTCGGGTGCGTGCTCGCAAACAAACTGTTGTCTCTTGGAAACGGATTCCAAGAAAGACTGCTGACGGAATCCGTGAAGAGGAGAGTAGCAGGAGAAGGAGCATCTGAACGAGCGAGAAGATGCCAACGAGCGACAACTCCCCCCTCAGCAGAGGTGTTGGAGCCTTGACTGGCTGATGGAGGGCGATTGACGTCGGTGACGGAGCAAGTAACGGAGCGGGTGATGGAGCGGGGGCTGGGGGCTGGGGCGGGCAGAACCGCCGTATCTTTATCACGGTTTTCCCAGGCCACCAAATGGCGACGCTGCATATGCTGGCGCAACGCTGTAGTCCCCAACATGGGCCCCCTGGCCACGCTTGACTTTCTGGCCACATAGTCGACATACGGCTACGTTTACTTCCTCGGGGGCGGCTTGACGAAAAATTGCCACACACCGCCGAGTAGGAAACTTTGCCCCCGATACTCCTCACTGGCTGACTGCTGCTGCTGCTTCCTCCGTGCACACCGGGCACCACTACTGGCCGTGGTGGTAGGCTGCAGTGGAGCTGGTGCTCTACTACTCCGTGGCCGTTTGGCTCCACTGACACTGCTGCTGCGACCCTGCTGCTGTCTCCTGGAACCCACCGACTGTTTTGCTCGCTGCCAAGCTGCCACCCTCTTCTCCTGATGATGCGGAAGAAATTGCCTGATGACGACGAGGCTGCCAAGTGCGATCAACCTCCTCATCATCAAGTTAGGTCTCCGCCTCACTACTAGCCCCCTCGGCTGCGTCTGGGTCAGGAGACAGACCTGTCTCTAGACCGGCTACCGAGCCACTCTCCTCGCCACTACTTCTTTCGCCTGGCTGCTGAAAAAGGCGGATGTCCCCCCCCCGTTCCTGACCGCCCTCTGTTTAGCTCTTCCTCACTGTACAGTGGGGCTGAGCCCACAGCATGCGATACTTCGCTTGGTGAGGGAACACCAAAGGACAGGGGCAGGTAGAGGACACGTGATTTTTCAGTGGGCTTGGTCCCGGGCCATGCCAACTAACGGTTGTGTCTGACGTACCCACCGACCGTTGGCTGTAGGTGTCAGAGGTGACCTGGGAAGAGGAAGACGACCGAGCCAACCAATCGACGACGGCAGGGTTGTCGGTGGAGACACGACCGCTGGATGACACCGGGAGCACTGGCCTCTGGCTGCGAATAGTGCTGCCTCGACCCCTTCCTCTGCTGCCACGTCTGCTCGCTCCTAAAACATTGCCTCCTCTGCCACTCCT